GTTGCTTTCCACATTACCATCCCTCTTTTCTTTCTCTGTCTCAAGAAATCATGGTTGAAGAGTCCTGCCACATCTTGAGGGGGAGCCCACCTGCAGCCAAAGAGAGTACAAAAGAAATCCCAAATTCGATGCACAAAAGAACAAGATATCATTAAATGAGAAAGGGTCTCACCACTTACCTTACACAGTGAACACACGTGAGGAGAAAGGCACATATATGGCCTTCTTTTCTGCAGCATATCACAAGTGTTTACCTAACCAAGGAATACTTCCCAGCAAAAAGCTTGGATCTTCGGGGGAATAGGCTTGCACCAGATTTCTTTCATAGGGAAGGTCCCACCTAGAGGGTTGGGGGAAGCAAGTACTTTGAAGAAGAGGAGCAAGAAAAGAGGTCATCAGGAGAGCCTACCCAGATTCTTGAATCTTCCAATGAAGGGTCCAGGTGGATTTGCCCTAAGAGGTTCAGCAAGCGGGTTAAGGATTCACACTCATTCTCCCTTAGTCCCCTTCTAAAGCCTAAATTCCAGTTCACACCAGTTGGACACAGAGATCCTAATATAGATAAGCCTAAATTCCAGTCCAGAATCCTTCTTTTCTAGTTGACTAAATTCTGGAAGAATCAGCAACCATTCTAACACTGAACTGCCCTCAGCCGTGACCATCTTGTCCATGCTGCAGGCTTTGTCTTCAAAAGTCCCACTGCTCCTCTCCTTCCAAATATTCCAGCAAATTGCAGATGGGATACAGTTCCATACCCCCTAACAAAAAATTGCACCAGCTCAGCCCACTCTCCTCTAATTGACCCTCAAATCTCGTTCTTTGACCTTGAGATAAAAAGATTCCAACTTTGTATCTTGCAGTAGTACAACATCTAGACTGTATTTTCTCAAAAGCTTTTTAACCACTTCTCTCCTCTTCCCAACTCTCAATCCCGCCACATTCCATCTTCACTTTCCTCACCTCCCCTGCCCCCTCCAACAGCCCTTCTTTTCCTCTTCCACCGAACCTACTAATCTCCCATCCCCCTCTTCTCCTCCTTCAGAAATTTCCCAAGCAACCTTTTTTTCTAGCTCCTCCATTCTAGACCTTTCATACTGATCAATAGCCCTTCTCACCACCTCCTCTCCTCCCAGGAAAAACAGACCTAGGTTTCTGTCTACCTCAATCTGCCCAACCCTTGAATCCTTCTCCCTTGTTTCACCCTTTCCCGACTTGTTCTTCCCACTTTTCTTGATTTTTTTCTTCCTGTTATAGACTTAATTTTCTCCTCCACCCCTCTATTTCTTTGTGTGCTGGATTTCCTAACCCCTGAATCAGAGGTTGTCTTCCCTTCAGCTTCAGAGTTACCCCTAACTGAAGAAGGGGCAGAGATGAGAGATGTTCCAGGGGAAGAAACAAAATTAGCCGAAGTTCCAAGATTTATCCTTACCTCGTTAAGCTCCCTTGCCTTGATGACTGAAATCACCTTCAGCTCTATTTGGAGGCCTTTCTGTCATTTTTATCGCCCCAAGTCGCAAACACCTCCACGCTTTCCATCCTTCCTTCGATTATTGTCTCCACCCTAGCTTCTTCCACCCTAACTCCCAAGATGCCTACTTCCTCTGTAACGTTTGCCTCTAAAACAAGACTCGCTCGCAAAAGTCCTCTCCCTTTCTTCTAATGTTGAGGTCTCTTCCTTTTCTCCCCCATCTCTGAATGTTCAAAGGAACTTCACCTTTCCTCCCTCCCAAACCCCAATCTTTTCATTCCTTTCATATCCTGTAACCACCGAAATCCAGTCCTCCCTGTTACTAGCCAATCTTCTCTTTCTAGTCGGAGGAGATGAATCGTCTTCTCCTTTCTTCGAATACATGGGGGAATTTCCCAAAGAGACCCTTGTTCTTTTGACCTTTTTGCCCCTTCCTTTCTTTTTACTCTACCGCTAACCTAAAGCAGTGGTCCTTAATCCCTCTCGTTT